TGTGTGTGAGTGGGGAGTGGTGGTGCAGTGGTTAGCGCACTGTGTGTGTGAGTGGGGAGTGGTGGTGCAGTGGTTAGCGCACTGTGTGTGTGAGTGGGGAGTGGTGGTGCAGTGGTTAGCGCACTGTGTGTGTGAGTGGGGAGTGGTGGTGCAGTGGTTAGCGCACTGTGTGAGTGGGGAGTTGTGGTGCAGTGGTTAGCGCATTGTGTGTCTGAGTGGGGAGTGGTGGTGCAGTGGTTAGCGCACTGTGTGTGAGTGGGGAGTGGTGGTGCAGTGGTTAGCGCATTGTGTGTCTGAGTGGGGAGTGGTGGTGCAGTGGTTAGCGCACTGTGTTTGAGTGGGGAGTGGTGGTGCAGTGGTTAGCGCACTGTGTGTGAGTGGGGAGTGGTGGTGCAGTGGTTATCGCACTGTGTGTGTGTGTGGGGAGTGGTGGTGCAATGGTTAGCGCACTCTGTGTGTGAGTGAGTGGGGAGTGGTGGTGCAGTGGTTAGCGCACTGTTTGTGTGAACGGGGAGTGGTGGTGCAGTGGTTAGCGCACTTTCTGTGTGTGAGTGGGGAGTGGTGGTGCAGTGGATAGCGCACTGTTTGTGTGAACGGGGAGTGGTGGTGCAGTGGTTAGCGCACTCTCTGTGTGTGAGTGGGGAGTGGTGGTGCAGTGGTTAGCGCATTGTGTGTGTGAGTGGGGAGTGGTGGTACAGTGGCTAGCGCACTGTGTGTTAGTTTGGAGTGGTGGTACAGTGGTTAGCGCACTGTGTGTGAGTGGGGAGTGGTGGTACAGTGGTTAGCGCACTGTGTGAGTGGGGAGTGGTGGTGCAGTGGTTAGCGCACTGTGTGTGAGTGGGGAGTGGTGGTGCAGTGGTTAGCGCACTCTCTGTGTGTGAGTGGGGAGTAGTGGTGCCGTGGTTAGCACACTGTGAGTGGGGAGTGGTGATCCAATGGTTAGCGCATTGTGTGTGAGTGAGTGGGGAGTGGTGGTGCAGTGGTTAGCGCACTGTGTGAGTGGGGAGTGGTGGTGCTATGGTGCAATGGTTAGCGTACTGTGTGTGAGTGAGTGGGTAATGGTGGTGCAGTGGTTAGCGCACTGTGTGTGTGTGGGTAGTGGTGGTGCAGTGGTTAGCACACTGTGTGAGTGGGGAGTGGTGGTGCAGTGGTTAGCGCACTGTGTGTGAGTGAGTGAGGAGTGCTGGTGCAGTGGTTAGAGTCATCTTGTTAGGTGACTTTAATGCCTGAGTTTGTCATGATGCTGGTACCTAGTCTGGAGTGATTGGAAGGCATGGGCCAGATCAGCTCAATAACAACTGTAGGAGGCTGCTAGACTTTGTGCAGCCCATGGGCTTGTAATTACCAACACGCTGTTCCGGCATCGGCACATCCACACAACATTATGGATGCATGCTGGGTCCAAGCAAGAACATTTATTGGAGTAGGTTGTGATGGAACAGCGGATGCGTGCCCATGTCCTTGACACCAGGACCTACCGTGGAGCTGATCTGCCCACTGATCATCGGCTTGTCATCTGTAAGATGCGCCTGCCATTCTTCCACTCCAGTGGTGGGTGTACACCCAGGACCCCATTCAAACCCTTAGTGGCCTGGTCTCAGCTAGCTGATGAAAGGTGCAAGTGGGAATTTCATAATCACTTGCAGCTGGGTTGGCATCGTCCCCCAATCCTCCTGATGCCGAGGGTAAATGGGCAAGTACTCTTTGGTTCTATTCGGTAAAGTCACGTAAAAGTATAAAACAACAGAAAATTCACGACGTTTCGGCCACAACACAAGTGGCCTTCATCAGGTGAAGGGACCAGACTGTCTCTAGGACAGTGCTGGAGTGAACACAGCCAAGCTCAGACCGCGACCTTTAAGCTTGTGTGAGAGGAATTAAGGTGCCTTGACAAAGGAATTAGCATAAAAAATTAGCATTTAATTGGCGGACTTAGCATGATGAACGGTGTAGAGGGGGTGAACATGTGCAGACCGGCGAGGGGGGGAGGGGGAGTTTACATATTGATGGTGTGAAAAGGGAATTTAAGCAGCTGCGAAAGTTTGGGATACCACTACTTGAAAAAATATACTGTACCATTGAAAATTAGTTTAATGTTTGGTTCTATTTAGAACATCTTTCCAATGGTTGCTTAATTTGAAACCATCTTCTCGGTTGAAATTGTGTCTGTGTTTGTAAATCTGAATTGCCTCGTGAACAAATCTCTGATAAAAACCCGTAGGTTTGCAAAGAACCTTGGTATCGGAGTAAATTATATCGTGATCACCCACAGCATTGTAACAGTGATCAGCTACGGCAGAATAATTTGTTCTTATTTAATTTTTTTGTTGTTTTATACTTTTACGTGACTTCACCGAATAGAACCAAAGAGTATGGATCCTTGCAGTCACGAAAGCTCCAAATCTAGAATAAATGGGCGAGGTTTAGGACTGTGGCTCATGCAGCTGCAATGGCTGCTTTGGGTACACGGTCCAGACCTCCCCAGAGACCCTGGTTGACAGAGGTGTACAAGCTGGCTGAGAAAACGCGACAGGCCCACGCTCATCGGCTACAGCATCCCACGTCGGAGAATGAGGAGGCTTACCGCAGCCTTCGTAAGGATGGGTGGTGGTCGCTGATTGCTGAGGAGATGGAGTCTGCCTCAATGGCCCACGATCACAAATTGCTCTTTAATTCCATCAAATAAGTAACCTGCAGCACCACACCTATAACCATAATTAGGGGAAGAACAGTGATCCGATCTCCGACCTCCAGGAACAGGTTTGCAGATTTGCTGAGCATTTCTGTGAGGTCCTGGGGGAGTGGACATCCTTCAGCCTGGATAACAATGCGAGAAAACGTGGGGATGACCCTGCCGTGGCTGCGGTGCCTCAGACATTGGGAGGAAGTCACCCCTTGTGAGTGGCTGGCTGAGGTGCCATCTGTTGAGGAAGTACTGAAGGCGATCCAGAGTCTGAGACCGGGCAGAGATGATCTCTCAAGCGAAATGCTGAGGGAGGGTGGCGTTTGTACACAGACTGCCCTACATGACATTATAACAACAGTCTGGACCACTGGATGGGTTCCGCAGGACTGGAAGGATGCCCTGGTGGTCCCCCTCTTCAAGAAGGGGGACTGCACAGACTGTAACAACTACAGGGGCATCTCACTCCTCAGTGTGCCGGGAAAGGTCCTGGCAAGGATTATTCAACATCACCTTGCCATATTTTCTGTCCGTCTGCTACAGCAGAGGTGTAGGGAATCCCAACAAGACCTACATCTCTGCTTTATTGACCTTGTCAAGGCCTATGATGCCATCAGTAGGCCTGGGCTCTGAGTAGTTCTTCATGCTTTTGGAGTCCCTGACCCTCTGCTCACGATCATTAAGGACCTTCATGATGGTGAGCAGGCCCGGGTAAAACTACATGGCCGGGAGTCGGAGCCATTCCCTGTACAACTTGGGGTGCGACAGGGATGTCCTCTGGCTCCCACATTATTTAACATCTATTTCGACTGCGTAGTTCGTGAAGCCTTCAGTAGCTGTACCGGAGGAATTTCCATCTGGTACAGATACAATGGGAGGCTGAACAATGCCCGGGTGCGGTCAAGGGATGGCTCTCGATTGCTCAACCATGTTATGTATGCCGATGATCTGGTAATTGCTGCTCACTCAGGGGAGGAGTTGGAGGTGCTGCTGCTGAACCTGGAGCTTGCCACTTAGAGGTGGTGCCTTATCATCAGCCCCACCAAAACTAAGCACCTGCCTGGTTATTTTGTACCATCGGACACTCCATCCCCACAAACTCCCAATTGGTGAATAAGGCAGTTGTGAAGAGAGTGGAGAGTTTCCCATGCCTGGGCAGTGTGCTCATTACCAGCTCCGGTTTAACAAAATCAGTCGAGCGACATTATCTTTTCATCGGTTGCGTAACACTGTGTGGAAGTTACCTGGTATGCTGCTCCGCACGAAGCTTCATGTCTTCTCGGTCACGGTCATTCTCTCCCTTCTCTACTCTTGCGAAACTTAGACCACCCTAATGAAACTTCTTCGCCAGTTAAAAACATTTAGGCTGGTCTGCCTATGATCCATCCTGGGTTTAACCAGGCTGGATTGGGTGAGGAGCTCACAAATCCTTGAAATATCTGGACAAAGTCCCATCGGTGAGCTCCTCCGGCAGGCAAGGCTGCGTTGGCTGGGCCATGTAGCCCGCATGCCCAGCCACCGCATGCCTATACAGATTTTGTTCGGCCGGATCGAGAGGGCGAAATGGGCGCAGCACGGGCTGGAGAAGAGATGGAGTAATGTGGTACAGGAGGATGTGGAGCTGAGTGGACTTGCCAATGACTAGTACCAGCGGTGTCAAGATCGGCCTCTGTGGAGGAGGCTCGTGAAGGACGCTACTGGGCAGTTGGAGGCAGTCGCCCTCCAACAACAATGGAGGGCGGAGAAGCGACGCTCACAACAACGAGCGGAGCGCCGGGTGGCTAAAGCACAGCAAGTTGGCACAGTAGCGGGCACAGGTGGTGCATCAGCCAGTCGTCTCGGTTGACCCGTGGCATCTGGGTCTGCCCCGTGACCTGCCATCGGGCGTTCGACACTTCACGTAGCTTCAAGGTGCACATAGCCTGGCACAAGCATCGTGGTGACGTCACTGCCACTTAGTGGCGAATGGCGGTTGTTGTGTGTGTCACTGTATGTGTGTAGCGGTTAGCATGCTGCGCTATGAACCTGGCGACCCAGGTTCGATTTCCGCTCACGGCCAACACCAGTGACGATTATCTGAACCGGTCCCGGGCCCCCCTAGGTCGACTCAGCCTCAAATGAGTACCTGGTGCGGTGTGTAAACATCGCCACTAGGGAGACAAAGGCGGTCGGGTGTGGTGCTGGCCACCCACCCCCTCGTGTACCGTTCCAGCCTTCATAGGTGCTCGCTAACAGCACTTGCCCCTACAGTCTGTTAAGGCTATATGGGGGGGGGGGGGGGGGTCTTTGGTCTTTGTGTGTCACCGTGTGTGTCTAGGCCGCCTCCCGTCACCCGCTCTGCTGTTGAGCCGCGTGCTGGAGCCGAGTTTCTTGCAGAACCCCTACAGGGGACACATCGACTGGGAGCGGCGGGCCGTCAAAGGGCCTGAGGAGGTGGGGTTGTGCACCTAGCCTAGTACCAGGGTATAGTGTAGTGTAGTAGTTTTTTAGTGTAGTGTACAGTGTAGTGTATAGTATAGTGTGTAGTATAGTGTAGTGCGTAGTGTTTAGTATAGTGTGTAGTGGATAGTGTAGTGTATAGTGCAGTGTAGACACTCACTCACTCACCCACACACGCAGCCACTCATTCACTCACCCACCCACCTACTCACCCACTCACTCATTCACTCACCCACCCACTCACCCACACACTCACCCATACACTCACCCACGTACCCACTCATTCACTCACCCGCACACTCACCCACCTACCCACTCACTCATTCACTCACCTACCCACTCACTCATTCACCCACCCACCCACCCACTCACCCACACACTCACCCACCTACCCACTCACTCATTCACTCACCCACCCACTCACTCATTCACCCACCCACGCACCTACACACTCACCCACATACTCACCCCCCCACCCACTCACTCACCCCCCACCCACTCACTCACCCACCTACCCACTCACCTACCCACTCACCCCCCCACCCACTCACCCACCCCCCCCTCCCCCCGCTAGCCCCCCCGAGAGTTCAAGCCATGGCTCTCCACCGCCGCCCGTGCTCCGGCGGCGACTGCGGCTTCCCCCGCCGTGGCCTCGGGAGCGGCGGTGCCGGGGGCAGTGAAGCGGGCGGCCCCCACTGGGCCCGACCTGGCCGTGCGCTGGTCCCAGATGTACCGCGACGACGAGGAAGAGAAGGCCAAGGAGGCCGCCTCCTGCACCCGCACGGATGGATACGATGATGGTAAGCACCAAGGTGGGGTGGTGGTGGTGGTGTTGGTGGTTGGTTGGTGGGTCGGTTGGTTGGTCTCGGAATCGCATTTGGCGTAGTGTATCATGTAGTGTGTGGTGTAGTGTATAAGTGCATAGTGGTGTAGTGTGTGGCATAGTGTGTAAGTGTATAGTGTAGTGTGTAAGTGTATAGGGGTGTAGTGTATAGTGTAGTGTTTTATAGTGTAGTGTATAGTAGTGTAGTTTATAGTGTATTTCATAGTAGTGTCTTGTGTGGTATAGTGTATAGTAGTGTAGTGTCGTGTGTGGTGTAGTGTATAGTAGTGTAGTGTGTAGTCGTATAGTGTGTAGTGTATAGTATTGCAGTGTAGTATCGTATATATTGTAGTTTATAGTAGTGTAGTGTGTGGTGTAGTGGATAGTAGTGTAGTTTATAGTGTAGTGGATAGTAGTGTAGTGGCAGTGAAGGGGCTTGCGTGCTCAGATGAACCTCAGGAGCTGTCGTCGTGAGTTCCATCCACCCGGCGGGGTCAACCCACGACGAGGTGGAGGTTCGGCAAATCTACTTCCGTTCCACTCACCAGCAAAATATTCGCGACCCAGAAATGGGAACCGCGGCGAGTGCAACGGCTCCGCAATGGCTCCGCAGCGCATCGGCTAAAAAGCCGAGAGGAAGAGAGCAAAAAAAACGGCTGTCGCGAGATGCAGAGGCGATGGCCGACGGAAGAGGGAAGACAACGGCCACAGGCGAGCGCAGAGCCCCTCGAGCAAGTTGAGTAATTGAACGTGGAATTGTGGCAACCGAGCGACGGAGAGGTGAGGAAGAAGAACGCGTCGGAGGAGTCCCGTCACGCCTGAAGACGACAGCGGAGCGGGAAGGGATGAGAGGACTCCTTCAAGAAAATCGGAGAGGTCGCTGGAAGGTTTTACCCCAGGAGTTGGTGGCCTTAAGAACGCCATTGGGAGGATCTTCTGGAAGAATACGAAGACAAAGAAGAAGATGAAGGAGAAGGGAGAATACAAAGAATAAATGAAAAGAAGAAGAAAAAGGAGAAGATGAAGAAGGAGAAGACGAAGAAGGGAAAACAATAAGATGTAGGAGAAGAAGACGAATGAGAAGATGAAGAACAATAAGGAGAACGAGGAGGAGAAGAACGAGAAGACAAAGGGAAAAGAAGATGGTGAAGGAGGAGAAGACGAAGGAGAAGAAAAACGAGGAGAAGTAGAATGAGAAGGAGAACGAGAAGATGAAGAAGGGAAAATAAGATGGAGAAGAAGACCAAGAAGAAGAAGGCAAAGACGGCGAAGACGAAATGGAGAGAGAATAGACAGGGACGCGGTATGCGGTAGATGAAAGGATTAACGATAAAATGTGGTGCGGGAAAGTACGAACGAGAACCTCCTGCGACTGAGCACGAAGTGTGCCGAGCCCCGAAGGAGCAGCCAACGAACAGCAGAGCCCCCGGGGGGGTCGGTGGCAGACCCCATTGAGCTCATCGATGGGAGGGGGCAGGAGATGAGGCTATTTTAAGATGCAGCCCACAGTATAGTGCCAACAGATTTGGGTCCAGTGGCGAGTGGCCCAGAGGCTGGACGTGTTCAGCGTCTGTGTAAAATAAAGACCTCGGTCCATACGTAGTCTCTAAAAAGCTGTAGGATACTTTCCCAACAAGGTAGAATGCTGACATTTGGTACGTACGGGTAGCTTTTACGTCACAAACAACAGGGGATAAAAATATATCGGCTATCTATGTATATATAAATACTTTAATTTGTATGTAGTCACATAGGTAGAAATAAAATAAAATAAATCACGTTTCGATTGCAACACAAGCAATCATCATCAGTTGGGAAAACCACAGCAAGAACATTTTTTGCTGAAGTGGGAGAGATATGCCTTGACAGGAGCTTATATAGGTGAGGGAAGGGGGGAGGAGCAAGGGAGGGGGTAGGGGGAGGGGGCATTGTGTGGACGCTCGGAGAGTGTGGGTGGGGCTGCAGCAACAATGCCAATGAAAAAGTACCTGCCAAGCATCTGCCAAAGCAGTAGCAATGCCAAACGCTGGGGATGCAATTGACTCGGCAAAATAGACTAGTGCCCGGCAAATATAATGGAACAACCATAAACAGTAAAGGTTTTACCTGGTTAATAACATCCTTCCAATGATTGCTCAATTTGTCGCTGGTTAATCACGTCCTTCCAGTGGTTGCTCAGGTTAAAGCCATCTTCTCGGTTGAAGTTGTCTCTATGTTTGTATATCTGGATAGCTTCATGTACAAATCTTTGAAGGTAACCAGAAGGTTTGCAGAGTACCTTGGTCTCGGAAAAAAACAATATCGTGTGAGCCCACAGCATTATAACAATGGTCAGCCACGGCAGTGGCATTAGTTCTGCCGTGTTTCAGATCTGCCTTGTGCTCGCGTACCCGGTCCAAGATATGTCGTTTCGTTTCACCAATGTAACTGCCACCGCAGGTACATCTGAATTTGTAGACCCCAGGGTATTGCATGTCAGGAATGGCATCCTTCACAGATGTGATCAGATCATGGATTTTGTGTACAGTATTGAATCGGACCTGGATCTTGTGTTTGTTTAGGATTTTGGCAATCTTTTTGGTGACACCTGCTATGTACGGTAAGGTGATGTTTTTGATTGGATCCTCAGAAGGTTGTCTCTCCATGGTTGGGGATACAGCTTTGCAGATTGTGCGGTCAGAGTATCCATTCATCTTGAGGGCTCGGTGTACGTGCTCCAGTTCACTGGCTAGGTGGCGCTGGTCAGAGATGCAGCGGGCCCTATGGTGTAGTGTTTTGATGAGGGAATTATTCTGGACTGGATGGTGGTGGGAATCAGGCTTTAGATAGGAATCCGTGTGGGTGGCTTTCCTTAGACAGAATGTCCCAAAGAGCCATCAGGTCTCTTTTCAATCAAAACGTCCAGGAATGGTAGCTTACCCTCGTTCTCTACTTCCATGGTGAATTTTATGGATGGGTGTATGGAATTTGTGGTTGGGAAATTCGTTCAGTGCTGGCAGGCCATGTGGCCAAATGACGAAAGTGTCATCTACGTATCTCTTCCATGAGGAAGGACGTAGGGTGGATGTCTGGATGGCATCTGTTTCAAATTTCTCCATTAAAACATTCGCTACCACTGGTGATAAGGGGGAACCCATGGGGGGTACCTTCATTTTGCTTATAGAAAGTGCCATTCCAGGTGAAGTAAGTGTTGGTGAGGTAGTGCCTCACCAAAATTGGTACATCCGTATTCAGTCCATGTTGGACCAAGTCTTCAATTATTGCTAAGGTGTCAGGTACAGGAACCTTGGTGAACAGAGAGACTACATCAAAGCTGACAAATCGTCTGGAGACAGTGAGATGCCCTTGATTAGAGAAACCAAGTGGGCTGAATTAAGTACTGCTGAGGAAGTCTTGCCTGTGAATGGAAGCAAGGTCTCAGAAAGAAATCGGGCTAGTTTGTAGGTAGGTGAGTTGATGGTGGACACGATGGGGCAAAGTGGAGTACCTGCTTTATGGATTTTTGGAAGACCATAGAGTCTGGGTGGTCTAGCAGCCGAAGGTTTTAGGGAGAGCTGCTTGTTTGGTTGGATTAGAGAAGTCGAATTAGTGATGCTATTGTTGATTTTTGTAGCCAGGTGGTTGGTAGGATTTTTCTTGATTTTGGTATAACTGCCATCATTAAGAAGGTCCTGGATTTGTTGTATGTGGTTTTATCCATGATGACAGACAGTGGCATTGCCCTTGTCGGTTGAGAGGATGACGATGTCATCCCTCTTTTTCAATTTGGCGAGTTCAGAGCGCTCGCCCTTGTTGATGTTACTAATGGGTTTCTTAGCATTTTTAAGGATGGTGGCAATTTCAGGTTTTGCCACGTCTGCTAAGATGTGTCCCAAACCTTTGAGGGATACATCTACCTGGGCAATTATGTCATCCACTGGGATGTGTTTGGGGGTGACAGCAAAATTCAGCCCTCTCGCTAGTACTGATTTTAGGCTATCGGAAATTGAGCTGTTGCTTTGATTGATAACAATCTTGTTAACATCCAGCTTTTTAATGTGTGGATCTGGTTTATTTTTTACAAGTTGTTGAATTTAGCAATAAGGTTGACCTTGCATTTGGAGGACATTGTTGCGGCAGAAGAATGTTATTAACCAGGTAAAACCTTAACTGTTTATGGTTGTTATATCATATTTTCCAGTTACTAGTTTATTTCAATTGCATCCCCAGCGGTTGGCATTGCTACTGCTTTGGCAGATGCTTTACCAGGTACTTTTCCATTGTCATTATTGCTGCAGCCCCGCCCACACTCTCTGAGCGTCCATACAACGCTCCCCTCCCCCTACCTCCCTCCCTTGCTCCTCCCCCCTTCTCTCAACTATATAAGCTCCTGTCAAGGTATATTTCTCCCACTTCAGCAAAAAAATATTGCTGTGGTTTTCCCACCTGATGATGATTGCTTGTGTTGCAATCGAAACGTCGTGATTTATTTTATTTCTACCTATGTGACTTTACCGAAATAATCAAAGTATGGATTCCTGCAGTCACGAAAGTTTCAAATAAAGATTTGTACTTGGTCTCAAACAGTTCTAGGTAGAACGCTGACATTTGGTACACACAGGTAGCTTGTAGGGACACAAGCAACAGGGGAGAAAAATATATATAACTTAAGACCTTAATCTCTACGTAATCTCAAAAAACTCTAGGGTACTTCCCGACAAGGTAGAACGCTGACATTTGGTACACACAGGTAGCTTTTGGTACACAAACAACAGGAAATATCTGAGAATCGATTTGAAGTGCCCCATAAACACGTTTGTGTGTGGTATCATTCAGAAACCGTTCAAAATATAAGATTGCGGGGTTTTTTTTTTCGACAGAGCATTAAACAGCAATTAAAATTAAAGCGAGAACCATTGTTCCATATTTTATATTGTATTTGAGATATTTCGGATTCAAGCGTTTTTTTACGAAAAAAATCCGCATTTTATGATGTTCAAATAATTTAATAATGGTAAAATATAGGAGAGCTTTCCCTCGTAGACTATTTTACGTTCATTAATTTTGTTATTTCTCAACAAAACGAACTGAATCTTTAAATCAATCGGATTTTGATGGACACATCTTTAAATAATTATATGAAGTCGAATCAAGTCGTCAATGTTGTAGATGTTAGTGTCTCATCATTGATAAACATTGCAAACAAAATCAGGATTAGGTTAATTATTTCATTGAAAACTTTCGCCTGGCAAAGACACAGATGTTTATGAACTAGTACACCTATACTTAAAACAGGCGATCCCCAGATAACGTTCTAACAACCCATATCCATACCCAAAAATGTTTTGCTGACGATTATTCAACATATCGTGGAGAGGCTGTGGAGCATGAGAACTACTGAATGCAAGGGGGGGGGGGGGGGGGGGGGGGGGGCGCATTGCGAGCATCAGACGGACAATGCAAAAGGTCAGACGAAATATACTGGCAGCAGCCGTGCCTCTGCTGCATTGACCACAGCAAAGCTTTTTTTTATTTATTTGTGTGGCCCGTGAAGTGACATGGATTATGTGTAAAGAGAGTCCACCAAACGACGGCTTGAGGGTCGACGCTTTTCTTAAGTTCCACCGCACGTGTCCATCCTGCCGCTCCGTTTCCCCTCCCAGAAGCAGCCCCCATTACCCCGCCTCTCCCAATGACGTCACCTCCCTTTCTCTCTCTCCTCATGATGTCATCCTCATACCGTACCCTTACAGCACTGCATCGCGAAGCAAATTACCTCGTGCCTCTTACATGATTGCTACACCAACCAAAAAAGCAACCTTGAGAACAGCATGGGGGAGAGACACACGAGAATTTGACATTGGTGAAGGAGTGAGACGCACAAGGCTGTGTGCCGTCTCCTTAACTGATTTGTATGGTGAGCGTCATGTGTGATAAGCGGGCCTGGATTTCCATCGGAGGAGGGCGTGAAGATTGGAGGCAGAAGAGTAAACGACTCGAGATACACCGATGACACACCGACCCCGCGAGAAAAATAGCCAAGCTGAAATTATGACCTCTGTTGGCGAGTGGCTTAAAGAAGCCGGCGAGGAGGCCGCACTCTCTGCCTAAGTCGCCAAAAGGCGAAGATGATGGCGACAGAACAGCTTGACTCATCCGGCCTGGGCAATGAACCAACTGAAGCCGTGAAGAACTTTGCACTCCCGAGCTCGCTGATTGCCGAAGATGGGAAGTGATGAGGAAGGCGGCCAGATCTCCGTAGAACGGCCACGTCCACAGCTCAATCGGATACGGATATGGAGAGACAAGGGGGCATTACCATGAATGCCAAGAAGAGGCTTTTCAAAGCTCCCCTTTTGCCCTTTATGGATGCGAGCCGTGGATGCCGAGCGAGCGAAAGAGGATTGGCCCGTTTGAGATTTGCGATGCTGGAGAGCGATGCTGCCGATACCATGGATAGCTAAAATATCAAACGCCTTCCGTCCTGAGGGAGATCGGGGTCCCCCCTTCTTACTCGCGAAGCAGAACCTGGACAAACTTTGGGCAACGTTGCGAGGACCTCTGGACGAGAGGAATCATCGGTCCTGCTCGGGAACGGAGAGGGTAGTGGGGAGGGGGGCGCAGAGGTCGACCCCGGGAGGAGGTGGATTGACGACCTCACGATTACCACTGGCTCTGCTCGCTCACCCAGCTATGAGGGGCAGCAAGAGACCGGCAGTGTGGATGGTCGTGGATATGACCAGAGGGCGTACTCGATCTGATGGTACGAGATGACAATGTGAATGTACAGTAAGTAGTGTAGTGTACAGTAGTGTATAGTGTAGTGTATATAGTGTAGTGTATATAGTAGTGTACGTATAGTGTAGTATATAGTAGTGTAGTGTACTATATTATGTACTCCATAGCGTACTATTTCCTGCACTGTGTGGTGTATTATAGTGATGTAGACTGAGTGTATGTGTGTGCGTCTGCGTCTGTGTGTGTGGGGGGAGCGGCGGCGTAGCGGTTAGCGCTAACACTGCACTACAAATCCGGTGGCCCGAATTCGATTCCCGCTCGTACCCAACATCGGTGACGATCATCTGAACCAGTCCTGGGCCTCCCCCATCGGTCAACTCGGCCACAAAATGTGTACTTGGTGCAGCGGTGGTAAACATCCCCACTGGCACAGTCGGCGTGGGGCTGGCCACCCACACCTGTCGTATGCCACAGTGCCGGCCCTCATAGGGCGCTACTCCTCACGAATAGCGCTTGACCCAACAGTCTGATCAGGCCACACGGGGAATCTTTTTGTGCTCTTATACAACAATCCCCCCACTCTCTCCCCGCCCATCTCTCTGCGCCTGCCAAAGTCGTGGTGAGGGGAGACGCCGATGGTGATCACATTGAGGCTTCTACCGCCTTCTCCACCTCTTCACATCGAACGCCGGCTCCACCTCCTCCTGGGTTCCTCACCACCTCGTCTTCATCGCTGCCGTCGTCCCGGCCTGCCGAGAGTTTCCAGGAGAGGGAGCGGAAGAAGCGAGAGCGGGGACAGGCCAACCGCGATGCCAGCTTCGTGGAGGAGGAGAAGCGGATCCTGCGGCACACTCACACAGAGTAGACTTACACACACTAGACTCACACACACTAGACACACACTCACACACACTAGACTCACACTCACTAGACTCACAACACATACACGCACAAAAACTACACTCACCACGCAGGGACCCATAAACTCACGACAATCTGTGCACAAGAGCCTTGTAGATCTTCAGATTTCCCCTCCCCCTCTTGGGTATCAATAAAGATTTTGACAGACGTTGATTCTGACATTGATTCTGACGTTATATACATCTTACCTATAAGCGTACATTTTTTTGTCTATGTCTGTGTGTGGATGCAACTTGCAAAGGATTTGGCTCGCAAACCCATGGGGTTTACATAGCCAGGTACCACACCATGAGCCCCGTGGTGAGCCAGCGCTGTTCCATTTCCCCATCCGTCAACTTTAACGTAGTTAAATTAACAATTTAGTGCTATTCATTATTATTTATTAATTTCCTTGCGCTGCTCCACGGACGCTAAAGCTGACTGGGGGGCACATGCGCCATTGGTGGCGGTGGGGGGGGGGGGGGCAGAATTCTCATTCACGTTAAAAATGCAAAACAAACACAACGCTAAGGTAATTTCTTCAAAGTGTTATGCCCCCCCCCCCCCCCCAAAATGTGTGCACTTACTACTATAGGGTCGGTAGATACTAAAATAGCGTTTAGATACTATTATTGTAGAGCGGGCTGGAGAATGGTGGGATGGTGGGGGGGGGGTGGCGGGGGTAGCGACCCAGTCTCCTGCCTGCCACCTCGGCTGTCTGGGCAATCTAGGCGAGGATGGGGGCTCTGCACGGGACTAGGCCTCAGGACAGCTGTCAGGTTAGTAGTTTGTGCTGTAGAGTCTCTATACTGCTATAGAGTCAGAATGCACTGCTGTAGTCATAACATGATACCACCACAGTCGGTATGCACTGCTGTAGTGATAGCAGGTACAACAGTCGGTATACACTGCTGGAGTGAAAGCAGGTACCACCACAGTATGCACTGCTGTAGTGAAAGCAGGTACCACCAAAGTCGGTATGCGCTGCTGTAGTCATAGCAGGTACCACCACAGTTGGTATGCACTGCTGTAGTGAAAGCAGGTACCACCACAGTCAGTATGCACTGCTTTAGTGAAAGCAGGTACCACCAGTGTCGGTATGCACTGCTGTAGTGATAGCAGGAACCACCACAGTTGGTATGCACTGCTTTAGTGAAAGCAGGAACCACCACAGTGGGTATGCACTGCTGTAGTGATAGCAGGTACCACCACAGTCGGTATGCACTGCTGTAGTGATAGCAGGTACCACCACAGTAGGTATGCACTGCTGTTATGATAGTAGATACTGCTATCGAGTTGGTAGATACTACTTTAGAGTTGGTAGATAAAACATCCATAATAGAGGTTTTTGGGTTAGATTGCGTAAATATATTAATGTCGTTAAAACCCGCCCCCACCCGACACAGCCAACTTGTTGTCACATAAACAGAACATGCCAATTCATCATTAGTACAGCACACCGGTGTATTGGAGAGCCAAGCCACAACATTTGTCAAACTGAGTGCGACGTTTTGCCAGTAATTACAACTAGCTTCATCAGGCGGCAGCCAGATTTGTGGAGTCTTACGGTTTTGTTCCTTATATAGATGTGATAACCACACTTCTGCGCTCTTGCACAATGTGGGGGGGGGGGGGGGGGAGATTACTGAGGCAACATAGTTTCATAGTTTATTTATTTGGTATAGCCCTGTGAGCCTCTTGAATCGGGTGCAATCTCAACAAACATAAAAACATGAACAAGAAAATATCTTAAAGTGATTATGTGACTGCAAACAGAAAATCCAGGAAAAAACAATAAAAATATTCCTGAAATAGCACCGTACACTAACACTGTGTGCAAAAATCCCAGTGGGATGCAAGTCAAATAACAACAACCACAAGACAACTAAGATTAAGGCCATCAGTCTAACTCCGTACTACAATAAACAAAAACATGGCCAAAAACAAACAAAAAACGTTTTCGAAATCACCAAAACAAAAGCCATAAATGCAATGTAACAGTGATCATAGGAACTGTGACCGAATTTTTAACAATAAACTACATAAATAAATTATAACACCAAAATCTAGAGCCATATTTTAGGCCACTGAATAGCAGTGGCAGCTAGGGGTGTACAACTCCTCTAGAGCATGTGCATTATGCGAGCCTGGGGCTATTTCTCTCTACCCCGGGTGCCCACTTCCACCTGCTCACGTTCCCGGCTTTTGACGAAAACCTTGCCCACGTGACGGGTTCCCGCTTACATACCCCGGGGGGGGGGGGGCATGTCGTCACTCCCCATGACGCCACCGTACCGGAAGGTCCGGCTGACGTCACTTCCTGTGACATCACTGCGCCCGAGGCGAGTGTGACATGACGTCACCACTTACTCCTCTACACCTGTAATACATTAGATCAGTGGTTCTTAACCTGGGTTCGATCGAACCCCAGGGGTTCGGTGAGTCGATCTCAGGGGTTCGGCAGAGCCCCCGCCACGGAGGTCCGGACACACTTGAATTATTGTGTAAATTTGTGATGACACACACGGCCTGCTTGGCCATCACTGGCTGCAGATGATCATGCTACACTGCTTGGCCAATCAGCGCTGCGGGGAATTTAGTGCGTACTCAGTAGTCAACGTGTGACTGTTGTTGTCGTACGTCGTGTGATTTCTTTAATATTTTATCCATACTAACTATGTCGGGCAAAAGAAGAAAGTGGTCGGACGAATATGTACAACATGGATTCTCATGTATCACGGAACGTGATGAGAGTGAGCGTCCTATCTGCATGATTTGCAACGCCAAGTTGAGCAACTCTAGTCTTGCACCGGCAAAACTAAAGGAACACTTCTTGAAGCTGCATGGAGACGGGGAATACAAGAACACAACACTTGCTGAATTCAGGGTGAAGAGAGCCAGATTCGATTAAAGGGCCACTCTGCCTGCTCTTGGATTTGTACCTGTTAACAAACCGATCCTGACAGCATCGTACGAAGTTGCTTACCTGATCGCAAAGCAGGGCAAGCCACACACCATTGGTGAAACACTTGTGAAACCAGCTGCATTAAAGATGGCGAATCTGATACTCGGAACAGCGGCCGAAGGTAAATTATCCCAAATTCCCCTTTCAAATGACACCGTCAGTGACAGAATAGAAGACATGAGTAAAGACATCTTGGCTCAAGTAGTCGCGGATCTGATTTCAAGCCTGGCAAAATTCAGCCTTCAACTCGACGAAATCACAGACGTTTCTGATCTAAGCCAGCTTGCTGTTTTTGTACGCTATGTGAAAGACGACATGATAAAAGAAGAGTTTTTATTTTGTAAGCCTCTTACAACAACAACGAAGGCAGCCGATGTGAAGAAGCTTGTGGATGACTTCTTCAGAGACAACAATCTTTCATGGGATATGGTTTCTGCAGTTTGTACGGACGGAGCTCCAGTCATGCTGGGAAGAAAGTCTGGTTTTGGTGCGCTAGTAAAGGCCGATGCACCACACATCATTGTGACGCATTGTATTCTGCACAGGCATGCGTTGGCAACAAAAACCTTACCTCCAAAAATGGCAGAAGTATTAAAAACTGTGGTGGAATGTGTGAACTATGTGCGAAAAAGTGCTCTGAGGCACCGCATCTTCAGTGAGCTGTGTAAAGAAATGGGCTCTGAATTTGAGGTACTTCTGCTCCATTCTAATATTCGGTGGTTATCCCGGGGACAGGTGCTGAATCGTGTTTTTGCCATGCGTGTGGAATTAGCCCTGTTTTTGCAAGAGCACCAACACTGCCATGCAGATTGCTCCAAAAATCCTGAGTTCATTCTCATTTTAGCGTACATGGCTGATATATTCGCAGCTCTCAATCATCTCAATCAGCAGATGCAGGGTGGTGGAGTCAATATCATGGAAGCGGAAGAACACCTGAAGGCTTTTCAAAAAAGCTACCGTTATGGAAACGACGAACAGAGAACAATAACTTCGCAAACTTCCCGCTTCTGGACGACTGTGCAAGTAAGATCGAAGATGTGTCTGGAATCGGAGATATTTCTGTATCCACGGAACTGAAGCAAACAATTGCCACGCACTTAGATGAGCTTGCAAAGTCTCTCGACGGATATTTCCCTACAAGAGAGTCATATCCAGCATGGGTGAGACAGCCGTTCACGTTTGCTGTTGAAACAGCAGATGTCAATGATGAATTCCTCGACGAAATCATTGAAATTCAGCAGAGCCAGGTTCAACAGCAACTCTTCAGAACAACAACGCTCTCAACGTTTTGGTGTCGACAAATGAACAAGTATCCAGTTATTGCTAAGAAAGCCCTGGATTTTTATACCATTTGTTACAACATATCTTTGTGAGCAATCCTTTTCGAGGATGCTGGACATAAAAACGAAGAAAAGGAACAGACTTTGCTGTGAAAATGACATGAGAGTGGCACTTGCCAAGGTGAAGCCACGCATATCTGAACTGATCTCTCAAAGGCAACAGCAGAAGTCACATTGATTTCCAGGTATGTAATTGTTGTGAGTTTATGCATTGTGTTGGTTTTATTCTTTGAACAAGTAATGTTCATGCACGGCTCATTTGTGTACCAGTAAAAAACATATCTATGTCTTGAATTTGAAAAAAAATCACATTTTATTTTTCACTAAAGAGGGGTTCGGTGAATGCGCATATGAAACTGGTGGGGTTTGGTACCTCCAACAAGGTTAAGAACCACTGCATTAGATATATGTATATAATATATAGATATGTATATCTTACCTATAAAATAAAATTTTCTCTGTCTGTGTGTCACTCTGTCTGTCTCCAAGTCTGTGTGTCTGTCTGCGTACGCCTTTCACTGCTTTTAGCTGACAAACTGTTAGGTTTACGTTTCAACATAGTACACAGATACAACACAATAAGCCCCCCGGACGAAAAAGCACTTTGTTTTTCCCCTCCGTCAAATGTAAACTCCTAAAATCTCACTTTATAACTATTATTATTATTATTACGCTGATCGCGATCCCAAAGCACGCATCTGCGCATGCGCGGAAACGCTGACTCGCGGTTGCCCCTAGCAACACACACGAGCTCGCGAGGTTCTCCTTCGCGTTAGAGAGGCGAAGAGGAAAACCACACAGAGGCACAACACCGAGGTGAATCCTGAACAGAGTTGATGTCCTCTTCTCCCCCCACCCCAGTGTGTGTTGCAGTT